TTCTCCGTTTGGACACTAGAAAATAGTGATAAGATGTTGTTTGGCATTTGACAGATTGTAAAATAATGATACTTTTGACATCCATACACAGGGTAAACCCCACCACAAACCTCATGCCGAACTCAGAAAGCATATTGTGGATGCCAAAACACAGACTGCTTCTTGTGAAATCTCGTCCAAGAGGACTGTACGCTTCAAATGAGCGAGAGTAATGAGGGAGATGGAGCAGAAGTAAAAATTTGCTGCAGCCTCCCAAATACAGGCATGCAGCCTCGTACGTCCTCCCACACCATTACGGTCTGCGGTGATCTGATGTTGGGCTGGACTTCACGTGATGTTGAGATTGAAGTTACTGAAGAGAGCCATGTGTGGGTTTGTAGCACAACCGTTTGTGCATGTGTGCTAATGAGTGTCGGGAAGAAGGCCAGTCCCAGACGGCAGGGGGAGACTTGGCTCCTGCAGACCTGAGCGCTGGCCGTTTCTCGCATGGTTTGAGAGGCATACTGAAAAACCCCTCACCCAGCAGAAGAAAACAGCCAAGCCCCCATTGCCCTTGAACTGTCTCCTCGGATGAGTCAGAAAATGAGAGAGATTGCACAGAATTGAAATGAAATCTCTTTTCTGCTGAACTGAGGAGATGCTCTGAGCTCTGACCACATAGGCGATTCAATCCAGAGCATTTCACTTTTTTGGAGGTGGGGGGGTCAGCTAAGTGCCCCCCCCCCACACACACACACCCATCCCTCTTTTTCCTTTTCCCCCCCAAATAGACGAAAGAGGATGGAGGGAATCTAGGTTATAGCCACACAAGAGCCCCCCCGAGAGGAACCAAGAATGGAGGGATGGTTAGAGAGATGGAGAATACTAAGCTGTGATTAAGGAAGAGCTGCTGCTATTTAAGAGTTAAGCTGAAGAGGAGAAGGAGATTGCATGGGCAGTGGAGGAGGAGGAGAGGAACACTGGAGGGGGAAAAGAGCATCTTCTCCAAGCAGGGAGATCAGCAACCATGCAGGCGGAGGCTGAAAGACAACCTGAGAATAAGATAAGTGGGATGAGGAGAGAGCAAATTCCAAGTGAGAGGATGAAAGATGCAACAAAAAAGTGGATCCAAGGAGATGACGAGAGAGAGATAAAAGGGAAAGAAAGGGGAGAAGAGGGTATGTTTGTGTATGACTAAACAACAGGATCAGAAATAAGAGGAGGAAAGGCAAGGAGAAGAGAGGACATCCATCCCTCTCTTTGCCTCATGTGCACAGGGCACGGCTGGGGGCAGATGAACGAGTAAAGCGTTCATGTATGTGTGTCATACAGCTGTAGGTTTAAAAAAAAAACTGAAAACAGAAGGAGCGGAGGACCTGCCATGTAGCAGGTGCTGACCATTTCACGCCTGTCCGCCCCTCTTAGCCCCGTTTGTCTACACAGATCCACGTTAGTCTCTGCAGGTCTGAATCACACCCCCATCTGAAGTCATCTCTATCTACCATAGGTTCTTCTTTTCCCCCCCCATACTCGTCTCAGTCGCCGCTTTCCACAATCATACTTGGCTCTGACATTTTCTGCTTGCCTTAGTCACCTCTTAACTGCCTGCAGATTTAGCTCACATCTTCTCCTCCTCCTCCTCTGGAAATGAGTAACACTGGTATAGGATGGAGGAAAGGGGACTGGGTGGACGAGGAGTTGAGCAAAGTTCATACAAGGTAGGGAAACTGGAGAGTGAACGTGACAATGTAGAGACTAAGAGGTCAAGAAAAATGGAAACAAAACTTTAACAAAAGAAGAAATTGAAAGAAAGAGCAGAAGAGGAACAAAGCGAAGAAAAGCAGTGAAGAGCTGAAGCAGCAAAGGGTGACTGATCCGCTCTGAGAGGCTTGAAGAGTGACAGAAACACACGCTACGCTGAGCGATAGTGGAGGCCAATGGCTGTGCAGATAGGATGCAGTGGCACAAGATTCCCACAGGAGTTTTAAATGCTGTCAGCATCGCTCTCTCTCCCTCCGTCCCTCATGTCTTTACCCTCTCAGACTAAGGAGTGCATGCTGGCACCGATTTATCTCGGTGCACACTCCCTGGCTTTGTAGTCTGAAAGCCAGTGTACTCCATCTTCCTCCACCTGCTTCTGGGATTTTTGCATCTTTCTTGTAAAACTCAGCAGGAGATGGCAAAATCCTTTGTGCAAAAAAGGCCAGTTACACTACTACTGCATGTAGTAGTTCACAGTGGCCCCAAGGGGTTCGATGACGCATGCCGTGGCACCATAAAAAGCCAAGGGGCTTGAAGATGATAAAGTTGAGAGAGATATTCAGAATGAGCAAGCAAAATAAGAAGAGTGAGAAAAAAGCTAAAAATTAGAGCATGAAGAGACTGGTTGGCTTTTAAGAAGTAGCCAGCGGAAATTATATACTTTCTCCCCCATTATGGACAGAGCTTACTCCCATGTCAGCAGAAAATAACTTCATATTAAGTGCAATCATGCCACAGAAAAGTGGAAGTAGATGCATATTGTATGAGGTAAAATGTAGTGGTGAACCCTGCTGAAAGGTTCTGCTGAACTCTTGCAGAACAGAGGGGGGTTGGGACCATGTGGCCTCTTTCAGGCTTATGGACACTTTTTTAGATGGTTTTTTTCTTCAAAGCACAGAGAACCATCAGAGGTCTTGTCCCAAAAAGGATGCATGTTTTTATAGGTAGATGCTTTTCTCAAATAACATACAGAAACATGCAGGCCAACAGGGAACAACCAGACCTCACAATATTAAATGGACTGATAGGTCTTCCCAAACTGAAGGCTGTTTGGTGGAACAATTTTCAGCAGCTGCTTTTATTCTTTAGTTCTGGATAACATTTGCTTGGTTTATAAAAAGACAAAACAAAAAACAGGAACTGTGAAACTAACTGGGATCCAATCAGACATGCTGGTATATGTATAAAATAAGATTATATGAAATATTCATGACAAAGGTTAGGCTTAGTTTAGACAAAGTATACATGTCCGTCTAAAGACAACTTCTTGAGCTAATATTTGGTTATGAAAGTATAATGAGATGAGATATAATGTAAAAATGCTTAGGAAAGGAGATGGATGAGGAAAAACCCAGAAGAAAAACGCCACTGTTTTTATCCTTAGCACAGAAAGCAAATGAACATATAAAACATGGACTTCTAATCACATTTTCCATACTTCAACTCAAACAAAATACTTAACCTTATTTTTTTCTTGATGTAAGTTTTTATCAGCCATCATAACTTCTGAAAACAGAGCAAATTACTTTTTTTTTTTTTTTGCAAAACAACAAAGACCCTTTATCTGGGGAATTCATATCAGACTGGAGTTGCTTAATATGTCTGACTAATGTATTATATCTATATCAGTCTTTCATATCACTCAATATCCAGAATTACCCGTTTGTTTTTAATTTATCTAAATAGGTTTTAGGGGGAAAAAGTATGAATTTAAATATAATTTTTTTTGAAAATCTAACCTTTAAAAAAATGGTCCATCAGCACCATCACCCTCAATGCTTCACGTTGCAATGAAAGACCGAGAAGCTAAATCATTTCCTTAGCCAACCTTCCCCTGAGTGTCACCCTGTTCTGGTGAAATTATAAAACTTTTCAACAGGCATGTTTTCATTGTAATACATATTTTCCTCATTTGCCAATAGAACCACCTTGGCATAACACAAGCATAAGAATTGGAATATTTAGACAAATCAAACTGAACCCAAATATTTTATGTTTATTAGATAAAAGAGTTATGCAGATTTTTCAACTATTATTGTGAAAATATTATTTTTTGTTTCTCTCAAAAACACTGCTAAACACCATGTTCTTCACCTGCATCAGCCTGTGAGCGGAATGCATAATCAAAACTAGAATTTGTTTCAGCTTTACATAAAAAACTACTGAATTTCAATTCTGTCTGAACAAAAAACAAAAAATACTTTTGAGGTCAACATTGTGATGTTTTTTTTTTTATATTGTGTCATAGTCCACACCTAATTGTTGTCAAAAAGCTTTAGAAGTTTTAAATGCAGATCTTCAGAGTGTAGAGTGGTCTCGTTTAAAGAATAATAATAAAAAAACAAGTCGAACATCACTGAGGGCAAATGTAGAAACCTTGTAAAGAACACTTGAAAAGATTGGCTTTAGATGTACAAACAAACCAGAAAACCTTGGACAACATCGAGGCACAGAAACCTGGAATAAAATGTATTGACAGCATGCAATGAGATGTGAAAAAAGGCATGCACTCTTGACAAAAAAAAAGAAAGAAAAAGAGGTATAAGGTTGGACAGGAGGGAATCTAAAGGGATGGGCACATTGACTCAGTCATTTACCTCTCCTCAGACATCCCCCACCCCCCCACATGCATGCGCGCGCACACACACACACACACACACACACACACACACACACACAGACCAAGGACAGAGCAGCTGGACCCACTAACCTAAACACCATAGATTGTCCCCAGAACAGAGAAACTGTTTGTGTTTACGTGGCATGTGATGTAAAACAAGGCGTATCCCTTGGGAAGCACTAAGGGTATTAAACAGCATAAAATACGAGGAAAATGTGGCTTGTGTGATGAAAGAGCAGTTGCTTCCAGCTCATAGGTTTCAGAATATAAATATTTTCATATACAAGCCTGAGGTAAGTTTAGCTGATGGATGAACAGCAAGCAGTGCTTTTTGCTTTCTCAAACTGATGGATTTAGCATGTGAAATTCATCATTATGTATGGACATTTGCAATTGCAACTTCTGAAAATTAGACTAAGCACTGCTTTTTATCTATTTAGGACCAGTAGATGAGTGGATTTGGGATGCCAATTCATTATGTGGCAGGGAAGTGCATGAAAAGGACACTTCAATTAATTACTTCCAGTGACGAATACCCCCACGTGTGAGCATTTCCAATCTCATTAAAAGATTTATGTTCTTATAAGGAAGTTTAAAATACTAAAAATGCACAGCTTAATTGGATCAGGAATGCACTCACCTCTGACGAAGATGGTAACCTGATCCCTGGTAGTCCCGATGCGGTTCTTGACCTCGCAAACAAAAGTGGTGTTGACTGTATCGTCCACTTTCAGCACCTTTAGCTCGTTGGATTTGACCAACACAGTTTCTGGCATCTCTCCCGACATTCTGAGGTGAAATGAGCATAAAAATCAGCATTGAAAAAAAAAAAAAAACTTCGTGAAGAGAGAATAAATTAAAGATAATAGATGAGCAGTTCTAGAAATATGCTGCATTGTCCACTCCAGATAAATTCTACTAATCTTTATTGGCAGAATAAAAACAGTCAGTGTCAAACTGCCTAAAAATTCACTCCATTGCTTAATGTGGGAAAAAGTCTAATTCAGCCTTATAATGTCCAGTTTTCCTAATTATCGCAGCTTCATTAATGAATCATAACTAGAAATGCACTAATATGAATGTTGTAGTAGATTCCATGTGTAAAATGTTCACTGAATGATTCCAACTTTGTCCAATTAAAATGTCCTTTTTCAGAACTCATAGAAAGATTGAAGGACTAAAACAATTATTTATAATTGCTGTTCTATGACAGAGGTTGAAAGCACATGAGGATTATGGACTGCATTGTGCAGTAGAAAATTTAGCCTTCTTCTCATCTATTTTAGGGTTTCTCTGTCTCACTCTTTTGCAATATGAATGTACCATCATTCTGGTGATATGTTTATGTGCTTGTCTCGTTAGCTATCTTTTTCTGCGCATGCACACTTTCAGGCGTATTTGTGGTGAGCTAAGGTTTCAGACAGACAGTCATTGAAGCTCACCTTTCTCACTGTGGTTCTGAAAGTGGCAGAGGGTCGTAAGAGAAAAAGTATCTACGAAGTGTATTAGAAGAAAAAAAAAAAAGACCTCAGAAGAGGCAGGTACATCCCAGAATGCTTTGCGTGGAGAGCTCTCATCGCAAAGTATTATGAGATTTGCTATCACAGCGGTTGTCGCCACCTGACAGCGGCGACTAATAACAAAAATGGCCCAGGCAGAGGAATTATGTGACCAACGGAGCAAAAAGCAGTGATCATCTGCCCGAACGGTCAGTTAATCGAGTTTGGTGTTAAGTCTACTATATAGTCCCCACTCTATATAGCGATTGAGAGGTGTATTGGTTAGGGTGGACGTTCGAAAACATTGAGCTTATATGAACTATGAGAACAGCAACTTTTAAACAGAGTGTGCACGAGAAGAAATTGGCTCGTGCACACTCTTTCACACATTTAATAGGTGTTCCCTTTCGGGTACAGGGTTGTGCATGTGCAATTGTTTTTTTTTAAGTGGAGGGGGCAGGTCATTTAAAAACATTCACGAAAAATCCTCCACAATACCTTTAAAATTATTAGTTAAATTGTTTATTAATCTCTGTGCAGATTCATTTGGGGACTAAATATAAGACAGTCATTACAAACAGGATGAAGAGTATAAACAGATCCAGACTTTTAAACCAAAACATTTTCCCCCTTCTAATTATTTCAGCATTCATTACAGCTGTACTAATGGTTGTCAAAACAGGACAATAGGAGGAGTCCTGCTCTGTTTCTCATTATTGAAAGGCTGGCTACAAAATCCATTATGAAAAAACATCTTAATCAATGCAGTTTATCAGTGTCAATAATAAAGGGTTCTGGAACACCTGAAGAGCTGGGAGTGAAGGGTGAGAGCAAGAAAAGAAGCCCTCCAACAGCAAAAAGATTGTACTTTAACAAGATACTTACGATTTCCAGATCACAGAAGTGGGAACCGGGTTTGCGTTCGCATTGCAGGTGAGCGCCACGTTTGAACGGCCCACGTACCAATTATTGTCATATCCCTCAATTGTCACCTCAGGGGCAACTGGGGGTGGACGGGTGAATGACAGGAGGGAAATTGGGGGAGGAAGAGAAATAAGTTTAATTATTCACTGTGAGGTTTGAAATTTTCAAAGCTTATCACAGTGTGTGAACGCCAGGGGAAATCATGAGAGCAGGGTCTGTATGTGTGTGTGTGGAGGGGGTGGTGGTCTTACACTGAATGACTAGTTTCCGCGAGATGCTCTCCACTTTGACCTGGGTTCTGTGTTCCACCAAGCATGCGATCTCCTTCCCATTGTCACTTGATTTGGGCACAAGGCGGTATTCACTCGTCACTGTCACAGTGTTGTCGGCACTTGTCTGAGACTTCTCTGTCCAGTTCCCGTTGGCCGTGGTCACCCATTTGATCTGGGCTGGTGGGCGGCCATTTTTGGACACGCAGCGGGCCACGACAACTGCCTGAGTCCCGGCGATCACAGGTAAGACCTCGGCAGAGTTATCTGGCTTAGCTGGTGGACGATGGAGGAGAAGATGCACAGGTGGAGGATGGAAGAAAGCAGGAGAGACAGAGGATTAATAGATGTACAGAGAGATAAAAAGAAAATAAGATAGCGAGGAAGAAGATAATGTGAGCAATTATCTTTCACTGAAAAACAATTTAAGTCAGGCTGCCTGACAAAAGCAAACATCCCCTGTCCTCCCAACCCCAATCAAACACACATAGATTCTCCGTTCAGAAGTTCTTTTTTTTCTCTCCAGAGATTTCTTTGACAAACAATTACAGGCGAGTGCTAAACTCTCAGACACTCCTTCAGTTCTCCATCTACTCTTCCTCCATCACAATCACTGCTGAACCACCTCTCCCAATGCATTTCCATACAGTTTCTAAATGACGACATGATGTCAGTTATTTCTCCCTCTGCTCCTCCTCCCTTCTCATTTGCCCTCTCTCATAGCTTTGTGGGATCAGAGGAAAGTAGGAAGACAAGAACTGACAGCAGGCATGACAAGCAGACCAATCAATACGCCGCCTGAGGGAGAGCGGAGTTACGGCGAGTTGGAGAGGTGAGGGGCAGCTGATCCGCTGGGTGCTGAGCCTCGGCTGTCTTACATTAAAGAAGAATAAAACAGGTCTTCTGTGGTCTCTTATTACAGCAATAAGGTCCAGATTTTAGATGCCTTTAAAATCTGCATTTGAATTAAAGAGCAGGCTGGAAAAAATAAAAATCAGACAGGACAAGACGTCTGGCATTTATCCCCTTAGGTAAGTACTTTCTAACTATAACCAGATGGGTGACAGCGTCGCAAAAAAAAAAAAAATAAAATAAAAAATGCTTCACTTTGCTTTGGCTCAGATTCAGAGAGTCTGGAAAACTGAAAATGACTGAACATGTTTGGCAAGAAAAGCAAAATAAACTGAGGACAGCTGGCCAACCTTTTTTTTTTTAAATGTACCCCTCACCAATCAATCTGTTGATGGTGTGTGAAAGTTATAAAAACTAAAATAAAAAATCTGTGAAATAGTCTGAACCAACTTCAGCCGAGTTCTGCTGCACAGCATTTCTATAAACATTACCCTCATTCATCGAGAAAAGCTAAACATTTCATTTCTGTTAATGTAAATCAGATTTATTAGGATGTTTTTTTTTTTAAGGAAGCCCCTTTAGTATTTGTTTACACACCAAATTATATCTAGTATGTAGTAGAAAAATAAAAATATTTCTACATATTTTTTAATCGTTTCCTTTGATTCTGCTTTGTCCATTAAAATGAGAGCTGTATTTAATATATTTTTGGTTATATCCTTTCAGCAAAGGATAGGGACACCAAGGTTATCATAGATATGTGCCATTGAGATTTCCTTTTAAAGATGCATCTTTATTATTTTAGTTAAATCATAAGCTGTCCTTGTGCAATTTGTTTATTGCAAACACGTAAAGAATGTTAGCCTAATTTCAAATGGGTGTTTAATTTCAGCTTTAACTGTTTTCTACAAGTTCGTATTAAAAGGCGACTCTTCTGAGTGTAAAGCATTGATCATCACCTTGTAGAGCATAGTGGGATTAAAGCAGACACTCTGAAAGCATAGAGGCAGTGTTGCAGTTTCCAGCTTTTGGTTTTACTTTGAAACCTGACAGCTTTACTTTACTCTAAAGTTTCAAACAGAAAACGACAGCATCAGACGGGAACAACAACAGAGCTAAACATCAGAAAATCTCGTGACTTTGTGCGGATGTTGTTGGCAAACTCAGGCGGTTCCTGTGGATGTGTTTAAGTTCATCACCACGTCTCTCTTGCTCTCTCACTTATGACACTCCCGTCTGGCTAAAACAGACCAGGGGTGTCATTTATAAAACTTTGTATGTAATCCACACTAAGTGTTTGTACGCCACTTAAATCAAAATGGAGAACGGCCCAAAAAATTAAATCCTAATTTATGAACCAAAAAGCTTTCCTTTATATATCACAGGCGTACCTCCAAGGCTCCATCTCATGTTCAGCTATATACACAACCACATTAAACCATAAATGGTCCATGCAAAGTTCTGCATGAATATCATTGTGTATTTAAATGAGCAAGCTGATCAATGCTATTTGCTGGTTAATGTGGAAACCACAAGTTAAAAAGTACAATTTAATGTAGTAGAAAGTAGTTAATAGATTAGCTGTAGAGTGAGGCGGAGAGTCGGATAGATATGTTTGATAGCCACATAAAATAAAAGACAGTATTTCAGAGTCGGGTGTATGGACTGATTGTAGGCATCCTGCACCAGCGAGCTCATTGCTGCCCCAATATCTAGGATTTATGGAAAAATTCTTGTTTCTAAAAGTTGCTTTAGGCAAAAAGTTGAGATTTGACTTTGAACAACCAACTTCTTTAGAAATGACCTTCTCTGCCTGACACTAATCACTCTGGGTTAACCATAGCATGGTCAGAACAGCCTTTCTGCCCCGTATCGCTGAATTCATTCAGAAAAAAAATATATATTTTTTTAAATTAATTTTCTGATAATATTCCATTTTAAAGAGATGCACCAACATACATTTAGAAACTGTTCGTTTCTTATTGGTCCATGAAGTGTCCCCTACAGAGACAAACATGGTTCCCAGCTCTACATGAATAGGCTGATTTAATGCTCATCAGAACCTTTCCAAACCTCTGAGCTTGAAAACAATCGCAATAATTTATTCCTAAACCAATAAAAAACAGCAGATTGTGATTAAGACCTACCCAACATGATCAGCTGAGTGATTCCCTGCTCGTTGCCATCGGGATACGTCGCATAGTCGCAGATGTACTTGCCCTCATCAGACATCCTGACATCAGTGATCTCGATGGAAGGGCTCGCCATTTCTGGTGGACTGGGTTTGAAGCTGACCCTGCCCTTCACTGGCGAGGGGGGGTAGTTGGGGCCAAAGGAAGGATGAAGCACAGCTATGTTTATCCTCTCTCCTTCCTTTGTCTCATATATCCAATTGACCTGCGAAGGAGCACGTTCAGGGTCAGCATATAGACGCAGAGAAGAACAGCAAGCCTCATTTATCACAGCATTGATAAGAAACATTGGAGAGCCTTTGAAGGAGTTGAGATTTAAATGTAATCTACATGGAGCAACACGTGTAGCATTACAATCAGGTAAGTGGAGCAGGTATGAATATGGATGACAATATTTCCAGGAGCAAAACTCTCTCAGCTGTTCTCAGGGAAACGGCTAAAGTTGTGCACTTCCACTTCATTTAAATGCAACTAAGAAGTGGCATCCATTACCATATTCAATCCCCTGAAGCAAAATGAAGCTTAGTGTTGTTTGTTTAGAGTAATAAAACATTAAGCCCAAATGTGATAAAAACCCATTGCCTGCCTTGGAATGATTTCTGCCAGCCATCGTTTGATAGATTAAGGCTTAATTCAGCTAATTTAAATTTTAAAAAACGGCACATGGAGCTGAACTGCAGATCTTTTGATTGTAGTGATTTTTTTTTCTTAATCTGCGAAAACCTTCAAAGTTTGGTCAACTGGATCACTATTTACACAAATAGGAGTCTAACTGTCACACTATTATTTAACGCCTCAGTGGCTTTATTTTAAGACTTTACCGGTAGTAGCGTTAGCATGTAAAGGGTTCAGACCTCCTACTTAATTTGTGTCTCCAGAACCTTTAAGTTTAAGTTAAGATCATTTTTGAGGTCATTGAATTTCAAGGTCTATTCTTACTATGAAGTTCAACATTTTATGCATTTTGAATGAAGATTTTAAAACTGGCTAAAAATGTGGTGCACTGGTTATGGAGAAGAATAACTAAGTAGGTTTTTTATGGCTGAATGGTGAGTTTCTGGAAAAAAAAAAAAAGAAAAGAAGGAGAGCAAGACCCAAAACACTGCATTGTAAGTTATTTTTTATGCAAGATGAAATGAGTGCTTTAAATTGTTTGGGGAATAAATATATTTTCTTTGGTGTCTCTCCTCTGGTGTGTTTACCGACACGTTAGAGCTAGAGCTGCACCGATGAGATACCTTAATCTTATAATTGTGATTTGGTATCAGATATCTGGGATCCAATCCAGTGCACTTTACATGGAAGTGTTATTTCGACTAATTTGGTAATAATATAAAAATAAATTTATATCCGTGTTAATGTGTTACCTTTTTTAAAAATGTTCATGTCACTAAACTCCCTCCTTTCAGACTACACCTATAACATAAAAAATTATTGGTCTTTTTTTATAGTAAGATTGAATAAAGTGGTTGCAAACAAATTTACTGAGCAACACGACCACTAGCCAACCAGCATAGACCTCAGCAATGCATCTATTTTCTGCTAATACAGCTCAAGCCATTCAACCCTTTCGACCTTCCCACTTTGGGTTCATTTTAAGGATAACATAACAGATTAAGCAAAAGCATTACAAGCATGTTTGTGTGCTTAAAGTGGATCTGTGGGGTATATGAGTTAAAACCAGATTCAACACTGCAAACAGGGGTTTTCGCATCACTAGATACACCAGATGGTGATCTGTTTTCCCTGTTCCCAATATTAACGTCATATCTCCAACTAAATAAAAGGTGATTATTCTGTTGTTTTTTTTTCCCTAGCAACATTGATCAAAAAAAGACCCCTAAGAACATTGTTTTTCTTACAGTATTGTAATGGTTGGTGTTACCTCTCTGAACGCAAAATGCTATTTGAAAAGGAAGTCATTTGACAGTCCCAAACCAAACGTATAAAAACTTTATACGTGTGATAATTTCATTGGTTTTTCTTCATTTATATTTGACCTGTGCCAAGATCACAGCATCAGAGGAAGAATTGCATAAAATGTGAGATAATAAAATTCAAAGCCTCTACTTTTTCCGGCCAAAATAAAGGTTAATACAATGCAGTCTTTTCGGATTTTAAGACACTACACCACCCCTTTTATTTCCAAGCACTTTCACCAATTTACTGAGTCACAAGGCAGCAATAAGAGCTGTAATGTTCAGATGGAGCAAAACATTGTTGCAGAACAAAGTGTGGAGCTGATGTAAACACATCAGTGAATACAGATAATCAAATACAGACAGAGGAAAAAGAAAGGTAATTTCATCTTGGAAATGTGAATCTGACCATTGTGAGCTGAACGCCATTTGTGTCCGGGAAGGAGCAGCGCAGGTTGATCGTCTGGCCAGGATACGACGACAGCTCTGGATCCACCTTCACCCGCTGACCTGATGTCCCTGTGTCAAACAAAGAGAGAAAAACATTAACCACAGCCATTTCCTTCACCGGGAAGGAAACAGAGAAAGAGAGCGCAGGAATCATGTCAGTAATAAGCCTGATGATAAATGAGGACTGTGTGGATGTGTCTGGTACAACAGAGGACAATATTAGTGAACCCAGGCAAGTAGGCCAAGAGGCTGGTATCTCTACATGCCTGCTTGTGTGGATGAAGAAGAAGCTGGGGGGGAAAAAAAAGAAAAAAATCAGGGGGAAGTGTGCAGCTGAAAAAAAGAGGAAAACCAGTCTTCTTTTGAACATGGGTCATAAATCATCAGGATGGGATATGCCTCTCTATAGCCTGCCATTTGCTGTGCCGACACATTCCTGTGTAACAGCAGAGTCAAAATAAATATGCTTTTTCCAGTGTGAGAAATACCGGGGCGAGAGAGTTTTAGGCCGACAGACTGTTTCTCTTTCTGTGTGTGCGCCTGTTTGTGTGTGCAGGTCTCTGTGAAAATGTAATTACTTGTGTGAATAAGCCCACATTAGTTTATGTCAGCAAGACGCCACCAGTTTTAAGAAAGAATGGATTACCTGCAGTTACGCAACTTCAAAACTTCTGCAGCCAGTGCTGTGAAGCGATTCTGTTTTGCTAACAAGCTACAGATACATAACACCGAAAGAGAAACACGAATACCTGCAAGACCAGTTCAACCAGTTTGGGCTGTGTCAAAGCCCAATGCTGAGGCGGAGCTGAAACCTACAGTCTAGCAGATAAGGCAATGAACAACACATCTTTCCATCTCCGGGGAGATATGAAATATCAATACAGAGGAGGAGATGAGGGTTTTAGGATTGAAAGAACGAGTGGGAAAGTGGAGGAAAACAAGACTTTCCTAGAATAACATCAGCTCTCACAGCGCCAGCCCAATTTGCAACCACAAAACAACCCCCTTGAAGCCACAGAGAAACCTCTGGACAGCCACTAAGCAGCCCTTAGGAGTAGCTCTGATTCTTTTTGGGGTGAAAAATGTTACTCCCTCCTCTGAATATCTCTGGTTGGGTAAAAACTCTGAGGAACAGCAGAAATATATAGATTTTGCCATTATATTTTTCAAATCAATTGATTAAAGAGTGGTCTAACTATGATCAGATCACCTTGTATAATTAGAAGCTGAACCTCCATAGAGCAGAAAATGAGAAAATTGAATGAAAATTACACCTTTTATTACACTAATGATCCCTCGTATTGACAAATAGATTTATCTAGACTGGTTTACCAATAGCACTTTAATACAGTTTACTACTCATATGTTTCATATAGCGATTTGAGTTTTGCAGCTAATCAATCAGCATTCTAATGCCAATACACATAAATACTCCCTGCTCGAAAAGGTGCCACCACTTATTCATTCTGCACATGTCCCAGGACTTCCCAGACAGGAAGATTCAGTTCTTCCTGTTTACATGACAATGGAGACCAAAATATTTTCTAAACCTGATATTCTGGAACCAGTTTTCATTTAAAGAAAATATGCTGGGGTGTACACAAACAACGGAAACGCAACAAAGCTTTTCCGTTTTTAGCTAAATATTGTCATGTAAATCAGGCCTTAGGTGTTCATATCTTAGTCTGTGTTTAACCCATGCAAATTACTACATGAAAAGCTCGCTACAAATTGAAATAAATCAGTAAAAGTTTTCTTTTAACAGACTTGCTCAAACAAATTATTTAACTAATGTGAGTGAAATGACCGAGTTAAAAAGATTTAATCCTATTTAAATTATTCTCTGGGTTGAAGGTGGAACTAAAAGGGGATCTGCAGTAAGTATGACACTGAAGCCAATAAATCAAGGATTTAGCTTAAGTAATCCACCCTTTTAACCAACATGTTTCTTTTCACTGTAAGCAATAATGCTTTGGAGCAACCCAGATATGATTCCAGACTTAAATCTGATCAAGAAGCCTTGAAAGTTGAAGATTAGGGTGATGGCAAAGAGGTCTTCAAATCTCAAAGACAAGAAGCTTCATTCCACTGATATTTTGACATTTTGTCCAAAAAAAAAACCAAAAAAAAACTTGTATGGGGGTGTATAGATAATTTGGAGCTTAGCTGTACATTAAAGCTTGTGATAGATACAGCTACAGCTATCTGTGCAAATCTGAAAACGTCACAATACAATACTTAACAAGCTCCATGAAAGATTTATACCTCAAAATTAGTCACGGCAGGCAGTGCTATGTATCCAGTCAGTAATCTAATGGGGAAAACATGCACAAACTTATCCTCTTCTTAATACTGACTTTGTCTTTTTGGTAGATTTCCATGATACTCAAACTGAACCTCTCCCTAAGTGATAGTTGAGCAGCTGTCTTTAATTGTACAGGCTATTGTAAATACAAAGAGAGATCCTGCATGCAAGAACGTACTACTACTGCACTGACATTACTATATAGTTATTTTTTATCATGGGTTCAAGTTAAGGTTTATAATATAAATTAACAAAAAAATCATCATTTCATTGGGAATATAAGATGAAATTTAAAATGGCGTTCAAAACCTTACAAAAAAACAAAAAAACACGTAGATACCCTCATCTCCTACTCGGTTAACAGGTAAATATTTTGAACAGAGCAACTGTTCAACAATGAAAATGTTTCACGTCTTGGCATGTTTTTCCTCTGGTGCAAATACCAGAGCAGAGCGCACACCCAAGATGCACAAACATCCACAAACACAAACCAATGTGGGGTCAACGTGGAGGCAGGTCCATGTCAGTCATACAGATGCAACGAGAGGAGACACAACACAGATCAACTCCCGTCAGAGCGGAGACGAGAGACAGGCTGGCCTTAGACTCCAACAGCCTCCGGAGAAATGAATATTATACAGCCTCAACCTTCACAACAGCCCATTGCCCCCCCCTAAAAAAATAAGAAAAACAAGAAAAGAAAATCCTGAAAATTTAAAGAGTTTGACAAAATAAAGATGATTCAAGAAGTATGAATATGAACAAAAAAATCCTAGAAAAATTTGAAGCAAGGCCATGTTTGAGAAAAGTAATTGCAAATATAAATATTTGGAGAGAAGGGGCCATATTTAACAGAAGGAACTAAAGAGAACGATGGGAAAATAAAAGACAGTTCAAGGGTAAATGAGGGAAGAAGAAGAAAAGGGAGAACAAGTGAGAGAGAGACAAAAAAAAGAGCAGGGAGGAGAGCAAGGCCAGAAACAGAGTCATTGCTGCTCTACTTTACCAAAGCCCTAGTGCCTGCAGGTAAAATAAACACCATCATGTAAAAGCGAACGCATCCAGATCCAAAAACTGCACTCTTCAACCTCCTCAAGTAGTTAGATGTCAGCAACCTAAGTACTGTCACCTATCATTATGTCTTTAACACCCACATGATGTGCGTGCACACAGACTTTTTATGCTAATGGCGCTGTGACAGCCCTGCCATATTAACATAGTCCTCTCACTCTGATCTCCTGCCTGGTCACGCTGACATTGCCATATTTCCCACCGTTCATCTGTGGAGGGGAAAATGAGTCTGAGAGGGGCGTGCGCTAGAAGGATAGAGGGATAAAATGATGAGACGAAAGAGAGAGAGAGAACGCCTGGGAATGCACAAGTGACGGAGGATGGATGCGAGGAAAGTGAAGATGAGAGGGTGTGAATGTTGGTGCCAGGAATAGAGGATGTAAAAAGAGTGAAAAGAGAAAGTGTTGAGGGAAAGAGGAGGCGTTGTAAGCGGTAAACAAGGTTAATAGGAGACAGTTGAGGGACAAAGACGTCTGCAAGAGAGGAAGAGAAAGAAGTGAAAAGGGCGGCTTAAAATGGAGAGTTGATGGTTGATGAGGGTGGAAGAGAAAGAGCACGGAAATTGATTCAGGGTGGACTCATGAAGTGAACTTAGCCACGTCCCCATTACACCACCAAGATCGTTTCTCTCCGCTCCATCTTAATTTCCGGACCCTTCATTTCACCCAGGTTGCTTCTTGTGTACATTTAGACTGTTAATGATGAAGACATCTTGTCTGGCTTCAGTTTGTCAGAAAGAGGCTTCAGATTTGAAAATAAACTGCATTACTATTAGGGGTAAAACTATAAGAATTATGTAACAAAGGTTCCACTTCTTAATCTATGTAAGTCACATTGAACCAAACATAAAGGTGTAGTGTTACACATCCTAAACAAATCTAGAAGAGGGTGTACAGGAGAGCGTTCTATGTTGGGGATTACAACATGGTGTTCATGTTTAGATCTGGGTATCAATCATAGCGGTTTGCCTCTTCAAGTCTTCTCCAAGGAAGAATTAAGTCAATTCAACATATAACCATGTTTCTTATATTTAGATATTTATCTTGGCAATTAAAACGTGTCCCAACGCAGCATTAATTGGGCAAACTTAAAAAAAGAAAATGGCATATAGGATTGTATAAATGTGCTTCTAATAACATTCTTTAACGAGACCTAGTAACATTTCCAGAAAACTGTTGATAACGGTGTTAAGAGTTTATAATGCAGGAATGCATACATGAAAATTAAGTTTTCAAAACTTTATATTTAGTTTGAAGCTCAAAGAATACATGGAATGTCTGAGCTTTTCAAATATTAAATATATAACATTATAAAAGCTGAGTTAAGATGCAAATGTTCCATCTTCCTACCAGAGCAGGAAGGGTAGATTTTTAGAATGGGTCTCTGACCTCATCTTTTCTGATAATAGAAATAGGAATATATCGAATTGTATTGAACAAAACTTTTCTAAAATTAAAGCCAATGATTCTCTCAGTGGAATTACACTATCACTTAATAAGTCATAACTTCAAATTACTTGAAAAAGACTTAAAATTAAAAGGGAGAAAAACGGATCTATCCAATTTTGTCCTGTTCCTTGTAGTGGAATAAATTGGGGTAAATAATGACACAACCCAAACCCAATTACCTGGGAAAGTAAATAAATCTGTAGTGGAAACCCGCCTCTAATGATCAATCACAGTGTATAGAAAGA